ATGATTGTTACCAACGTCATCGTTTCAATGTTTAGGCCTGTTCCTTTTCATTAATACAAAAGAGGGAGTCAGTCAGATGTATTTTCATTTAAGAAAATTAAACTGACAAAAATGAGAGACTTACTGCATCCATAGACTTCAAGTGAGTACTGGATGTTTTGCGGAAGTGATCAATGTTATCGACTGCATATCTAATTTCATCAACCTGAATAAAACATCATGTTATAATTTAAATCATTATTCAAAATCAGACAAACCCTGTCAAGAGCTCTACGTTTTTCATCTTCACCGGTCCATGACTTTGATAACAGTGTTTGAATTAGTGTTTCTTGCAGTTCCACGAACAAGTCATGAACCTGTAAAACATAAACACAAAAACCGATCAGAACGAATGCTTAAATCATATGAGTCCAAATTATTTAGGTTAATATCATGAAATAAATCATCATCATCATTACTCTGTCTTGTGTATCAATTGAATTTATGGCTAAAATCGTGTTAAGGATGCTTCAAAGTGTAAAATAAAAGTCAACTCACTATTGCAGATTTATATCAGTGTCTTAACAATAACTTGACTCACTTCTTTATCTGTATTTTTATTTATGCTGAAAAATTGATGACGTTGTTCGAAAATCGATCTGAAAATTTCGCTCACTTCATCAAGACAACTTTTTGACTGTTTATCTAAATAATTCATTGATAATCAATAATTTCCAAATTTAATTCGTAAGAAGTAATATAAAGTAAAGAGATAATATTAAGTTTGATCAAATGTTGATTAAGAAAACGCTTTTCATTCTTGTTATTTCTCGTGTCACTTATTTTATTGTTGAATGAACATAATTCTTTGTATTAAAAGTACTATCCTGAATTTGTGAAGTTAATGCACATTTGCACTATCACAGTTGGTTTTTCAATTCACACAGCAAACAAACATTACTGCATATATTGTAAGACTCATTCAGTCAAAAATAAGACCTTATACTGAACAATCATCTTCACACATTTATTGAGAAGAAGCAGCCCTCGATTGCTTTCCTTTTAATCTACTTTACAGTTTGCCGACTGTTGACTTCATTTATCCAGATATGTTGTTATAAAATCCATTCGATTACTGACAATAACAGCAATAATTTGGATGACTTATCACCGATCGAAACGTTTTTCATTAGAAATATTGTGTTTCCTTATGTTTTACCAATTTTACAACATTTGATTGTTCTGGACGAAATATTGAAAGCCGTTCACATCTTTGTAATTTAGTATGGTACTTACGATTGTTGACAGGATAAAACTCTCCAAAATGTTCATTCAAGGTGTATCTCATGTTGTACAATAAACTGATCACTAGCATATTGTGTATATTTCTACAATAAGGATTAGAAAAACTATGTGTTCAATCAAGACACAATCATTATTTGACTTAATATTAACAGTAGTTGTCGTCTGTAGAAATAGATATTGAAAAATCTGCAAGTCTTTAACTATCACATCGACGTCCAATACAACATGCTCAATAAACTGCAAATTTTGAGAATTCATTTTGTTATTTCGGAGTGAAATGGATTCACCCGTCATCATTTGTATTTTCTATTCACGTCATTCAAACTAATGAACATAACGATTTCAACTAGCGTGTCTGACATAATTATCATTTCCTCGGCACAAATGATTCATTCATTCCAGATTGAAACTAACTGGCAGAGGATGTTGTGCAGATCTTTGTACAAAACTATGCATGTTCAATCATAATTCATATCGGTTATGAATCCGAAAAACCACAGTATTCGTCTGCGGATACATGCCAAAAACACTCGAACAATGACTTCTCAGTGAAACAAGATTATTAAACTGAGATTCAAATTTTATTTGTTTCTGCAGATCCGAATACTTGTGTGACAAATAATACTGACTGATAGCAAACCGCATGACATATCATTCTTGGTGATAGTATTTAATCACATAACAATTACAAATGTATTATTCTTCCTGCAATAAAATATTCTTTTCTGAAATAAACACAAGTTAGTGTTTAGGATTTGCATGAAACTTATAATGACTTTCGTTATCAAACACACTACAGAGTTCAACAATATGACGTTGAGATATGTTTCGTTAAAATTATATTACCAATAATCTTGTCAGCACTTCTTCACTTTCAAATAAAACGTAGCAATCTCAGTTATGGATGAATATACATAACTTTGAATTTTTGAATCTAGGTAACATTATATGTTTATCCTTACTCAGTATATCCGTTAGGAGTTCATGAATAAAGTGAGGTGCAAATCAGGAGTTCAAACACTGAAAAAATTTAATTGATTCTATGCATGTAAATGCGTAAACTTGAGTTATGAACAGGTAAGCCTCAAATATAATAACATGATATCTAGTTAAATAACCGATTTCTGAAACCATAAAATTCAATCTTGAAAATTACTTTCTCCCCTGCATTTCTACAATAGCTATTTCAAACTGTTTACATGAATGATGCAAGGAATCCAGATCTTTGACAACAATTTCCACATTGTTTGTTTTCTCAAACCTCATTTGGCTTATTATTGCTTCGATTAAAAATCCCCAGTAGATCTGGTCAAAATAAACAATTTGAAACAAATAGCCGAAGAATGTTTTGTAAGTTAAATTAAACTTTCCATATATATCGATCAAATAATCGAAACTAAAACTTTTTCTAGTCTCAATGAACACATTTTTTGCCTCGTTTCACATTCTTGCTTCATATGCAACCTCAAAGCATTGGATTATTATTCATGTGAACAATCGTAGTATGTCATCTGAAAGTCTATTACCGATTCCGTTATTCAATAATTCAGGAACTTATACAGCATCACAAGTCATTCAGGTAAACATGATAAAGATTTTAAATCAACCCATTTGAGTAGGTTGTAGGTTTTGTTAACATAAACAGTGACAAAAGCATATTTTCGCATACTTTGGATGATTAGGCTTGAATTAGTAATCAATGAGGAGTATCTAGTATATATAATTTATTCGCTGCTTTTCGCTATCACGTTGTTGAAAATCTAATAAGATTCTGTAACTGATTCTTTTAACTCCGCCAGGAGAACCTTACGGGCTACTGCCGGTCCCAAGCCCGGATAAAGGAGGAGGGTTAGACATGGGGTTGGCAACCCCATTCCGTTAAAATCTCACTTGCAAATAAAACGCTAACCAGAAAAAATAATTCAAACCATTTTAACTCTGCCCTAGGAGTTGGAAGAAGAATTATGACGTCTCGTGATGAAAGCGAGTTCCCTCGGAAGTCACGGGGTCGATGCCTCTTCTAACAACCAGAGCAACCCTTTTTAGGTACATGGAACGTTCGTACATTGTGGGAGACTGAAAGACTATTTTAAGTTGCGGCAGAAATGAAAAGATACATTCTCGAGGTGCTCGGGATCACTGAAACACATTGGACACAGGTAGGACAACTGAGACTAGCTTCAGGGGAACTGCTGTTATACTCTGGTCATGAACAGGAAAACGCTTCACATACACAAGGAGTTGCACTAATGCTGTCCAAACATGCACAAAAGGCACTGATAGGATGGGAATCTCATGGACCTAGGATCATTAAAGCATCCTTCAAAACAAAGAAAGAGGACATTACAATGAACGTCATCCAATGTTATACACCTACCAATGACTACAATGACGACGTTAAAGATCAATTCTACGAAAGGCTGAAGTCAATCGTCGAGAAATGTTCACCAAGGGATTTGACGATTCTTATGGGAGACCTGAATGCCAAGGTTGGCACAGACAACACTGGATATGAAGACATCATGGGACGACATGGACTGAGAGGAGAAAGTAACGACAATGGTGAGAGATTTGCAAACCCATGTGCCTTCAACAAACTGGTCATCGGTGGCACAATATTCCCGCACAAACGCATCCACAAAGCTACATGGATTTCACCGGACCACACTACTCAAAACCAAATTGACCATATCTGTATCAACATAACGTTCAGAAGGACCATGGAGGATGTGGGAACCAAGAGAGGAGCTGATATAGCATCAGATCACCACTTGCTGGTCGCCAAAATGAGACTGAAACTAAATAAGCCCTGGACAACGGGGAAGACAACATCACAGAAGTTTATTACAGCTTTACTTCGGGATACTGTAAAGCTCAACGAATTCAGGATAGCCCTCACCAATAGGTTTCAGGCCTTTCAGGATCTACACAATGAAGAGAAAACAACATTGGATAACGATTGGATAAGGATTAAGGAAGCAATCACTTCAACATCTCAGGAGGTCCTTGGTCGCAAGAAGCAGCATCACAAGAAATGGATCTCTGTCGAAACTCTTGCAAAAATTGAAGAAAGGAGGAACACGAAAGCAGCAATCAATGTCAGCCGAACAAGAGCAGAGAACGTTAAGGCACAAGCTGAATACATGGAAGCAAACAGGGAAGTGAAGAAGAGCATCAGAGCTGACAAACGAAAATACGTGGAAGATCTAGCAACGACGGCAGTAAAGGCTGCAAGAGACGGAAACTTGAGACAATTGTATGAAACTACAAAGAAGCTTGCCGGAAACTATCGTAAACCAGAACGACCAGTGAAAAGCAAGGATGGAAAAATAATCAGCAACACTGATGAACAGCGAAATAGGTGGGTAGAGCACTTTAAGGAACTACTGAATCGACCAGCTCTACTGAACCCACCCAACATCGAAGCAGCATCCAAGGAACTCCCAATTAATATTGGCGCACCTACGGTTGAGGAGATCAGTATGGCCATCAGACAAATCAAGAGCGGCAAATCAGCAGGACCAGACAACATTCCAGCAGAGGCAATGAAAGCAGATGTAGAAGCAACTGCGAAAACATTTCACATCCTCTTCAAGAAGATTTGGGATGAGGAACAAGTACCATCAGATTGGAAAGAAGGATACCTGATCAAAATACCAAAGAAAGGCGATCTCAACAAGTGTGAGAACTACAGAGGCATCACTCTTCTTTCAATACCAGGCAAAGTCTTCAACAGAGTATTGTTAAACAGAATGAAGGACTTCGTGGACGCCCAACTTCGAGATCAACAGGCCGGATTTCGTAAGGATCGATCGTGTACTGACCAAATTGCTACATAACGGATCATTGTGGAACAATCAATTGAATGGAACTCACCACTCTACATCAACTTTATTGACTACGAGAAAGCATTTGATAGCATGGACAGGAAAACACTGTGGACTCTTCTTCGACACTGCGATGTGCCTGAGAAATTAGTCAACATCATACGGAATTCTTATGATGGATTCAACTTCTAAATCGTGCACGGAGGTCAGCTGACAGACTCTTTTGAGGTGAAGACCGGTGTCAGGCAAGGATGCTTACTCTCACCCTTTCTCTTTCTCCTGTTCATCGACTGGATTATGAAGACGTCGACGTCTGGAGAGAAGCACGGTATCAACTGGACAGTTAGGACGCAGCTGGACGATCTGGATGACCTGGCTCTTCTGTCTCACACTCAACAACAAATGCAAGCAAAGACGACCAGTGTAGCAGCAGCTTCTGCAGCAGTAGGCTTCAACATAAATAAAGGAAAAAGCAAAGTTCTCCGGTGCAACACAACATGCACCAATCAAATCACTCTTGATGGAGATGCTTTCGAGGACGTTAACAACTTTACATATCTGCGCAGCATCATCGACGAGAAAGGTGGGTCGGACGCAGATGTGAGGGCGCGGATTGACAAAGCGAGGGCTGCATTTCTACAGTTGAAAAATATCTGGAACTCCAAACAAATATCAATCAACACCAAAATCAGGATTTTCAATACAAATGTCAAGACAGTTCCACTGTATGGAGCAGAAACTTGCAGAAATATGACAGGCATCATCCAGAAGATACAAGTGTTTATTAACAGCTGTGTACGCAAAATACTTCGTATTCGTTGGCCAGACACCATCAGCAACAACGAACTGTGGGAGAGAACAAACCAGATTCCAGCGGAGGAGGTAATCAGGAAGAAGCGGTGGAAGCGAATAGGACACACACTACGAAAAGCGCCCAACTGCGTCACGAGACAGGCCCTCACATGGAACCCTCAAGGCAAAAGGAAAAGAGGAAGGCCAAAGAACACACTACGCCGAGAAACAGAGAAAGATATGAGAGGAATGAACAAACATTGGACAGAACTGGAGAGGGAAGCCCAGGACAGAGTTTGTTGGAGAAAACTGGTGAGCGGCCTATGCTCCATTGGGAGTAACAGGCGTAAGTAAGTAAGTAAGTAACTGATTCTTTTGAGCAAAAACGAGTTTTCAACGTAACATCACTCTGTAAACAATCCGTTCTAAGGAAAATCTACTGTAAATAAGAGACTTGAATGTGTTGTTGATGACTTCTGTTCCGTCATATTGCATCAAACATTCAACTAACATAAAAAGTTTGACCAAAGCACTGTTGACATATGCGCTTGTGAATAATCTTAAAAAAAACATACATTTTCAGCTAAACAGAAAAATATAAAGTGATTGAGGCAACAAGATGTCTTTCATTGTAACTAGAGACGTGAGTTTTTAATTATGACCACCGGTGAGGTGATTATTTTGTGCAAAATAAGGCTCTTCAATTTTCCCTAAATGGTTCCGATCAAAGTGAGTAGAAGCTTAGAAAATCTTTTTTCCAAAAGATCAATAATAATTAACTTTGTGAAGGTATAAGTAAATATAACGTGAACTTCATATCGCTTATCGGTGCAAAATACTTCCAATGCGACTTTCAGTTGTTTCTATTTTTAGATCAAGGATTGAAAATATTTCCAACCTCACACCTCATGTAGGAGGCGTTCGTGTACATGACGCAAACAATCAGAACTAGGTAAATTAAATAAGTTTGTCTAGAACGAAGTTCCAGCTCTGATACAATTGCTAGCTATAAAATGTTTGATATTTATGCCAGTCAATACAGAAACATTCAATTTTGTAAAAATGTTTCAAACTGGGGAAAGACAGCTGAATTGGTCGAGTTATTTTGATTATAATGTTGTTTATAAATAGAGAGAGCATGATACTTTAAAATTTGTACAAGTCTCAACTTACTACAGGACAGATTTCGTCCAAATCGCTGAGTAAGACTTGTTTACTATACGAATATTTTGATTTTATCTACAAAACGACAATATGTTAACATAATTAGCGCTGCAAGTTATTCATTGATTGATTCTAAGACAAGCAAGGATCCAGTATCCGGTGACAGGACATGCTCCTCAAATCCGATTATGTCAACACTACATATTGAGTAAAAGAAGACAAGCCATTATATGAAGTAGAACCTGTGTTCTACGAGCATCCAGAAAGTACGATGCCTGAATCCAGAAGAGAATCAGGATCCCAGACTATGGATCCGGGACCAAGCCCTGGTCCTGGTAGTGGTCGTAAAACTTTACAGATCATGCGTATTGGTACAATTTGGTCGAATAGGAAACAGCATCGAAGTCTGTGACATTGACATTTAAGACGACCAATAGGAAGCAACATTTCAAGTGACACTGATATCTAGGACGACCATAAAATTGCCCAGTAGGAATTAACCAATAGGGATTTACCACTAATTCTATTAGGATACTGAATGAATATACCAACAGTAACTTAACATCATTTGAAAGAAAACGTAATACTTTGTTAGTTTATTTTCGTTTAAGCAAATAATTGACTGTCTCTTGAACAGAAGGCGTTATGTTAATGTTGATCGCCATCAAATTGAACTATACATGTTCACCTATTTCTGTATTGAAGGAAATTCTATAAATAGGGTTTTCATAATTTTGTTGCGCTATTGTTTTTCTTACTAGTTGATTTATTCGATAAAAATCAGTTGTCTGACACT